TTTGTAATAAAAAAAGTATTATTAAAAGGTCGTGTTGAAAATTCTTCGAAGATATATTTATTCATTCTTCTATATATTTTATAAACTAGACAGGAAATAATGTTAAAATAAGTTAAAGTAGTACCCCCTTTGTAATCTTGCAAGACAAAGCTGAAAATAAAATTTCGTTAAAACTGTAGTAGCATATATAACAGCTAATATAAACATTATTATAATTGTAAATATATTATATAAACATTATAATTTATACAAAATTTTCAGTAAAAATTTAAGTACCCAAATGATAAAACTTAAAATTATTATAAATTCTTCCTTGAAATACATATATACATATGTATATATATATATATAATTTTTTTTTTTTTCAATAGCCTTTGAAGGATGAATTTGAGACTGAAAGATGATTTTCTGTTACCTAGATTCCGAGACGAAAGTAGTGCGAAAACAGATATTTTATTAACACAATATTTGTCATAAAATATCATAAAATGTTTTGTTGATCAATGTCGTGATATCAATCATCATATAAATCAGTAATATTTATTTAATCGTTACACCATATTTGACAATTAACACTGATGCTCAAAATCAATATCACTTGGTGCAAGATAAGTGGAATTTGTTAAATGTAATTTGTTCTTTTATACATACAATATGTCAAGATATTCAAAATTTATTTATCTGTATCGAATTTCATTACTGCTTCCGCTTTGAAATTGATTTAATTTAATCATTCAACGTATGTTTTTGCTTTCAGTGTCAGTTTCTTAAAAAAAAAAGTAAGAAGAAGAAGAAGAAGAAGAAGCTGATGGCGTCTTGTTAAATGCATTAAGATTAGTACTAAGGAATGTCAGACCTAGTAATGGTATTTTCTGTAACAATGAACTCAAACATACCACACGTATGATCGCACAAAAGGCATTCTCTCTCTGATTCTATATTATAATATATATTCCCTCAATAAATTCCCTCAAGTCAAGCTTTGTCTAAAAAGTTCCGACATCTTCTTATTTACAAAGTGATAACTTCTAAAACGCTGCCCCTCGAACTATCCTCCTCTCTGAAAATATATATCACAAGCCTCTTCACTTAAGTATCGTCATACATTCGTTATTGCATAAGAAGGAGATTGGCTAACAAGTGTGTGGCAGATGGTATCAAACGGGTGTCTCAGGATTCTCCCATTCCTCGGCGTCCTGACGCGACAGGAATCGCACGTGCGAGGACTCGCGCACCATTAGGCTAACAGTGTCAGAATAATCGACGACGTCGACGGATCGTTCGCCGTCGCGGGGCAAACTTTTGTTCGAAGAGATCGAGCTGCTGTTCTCCTCGCTGCAGTCATGTTTGAACACGCTGTCCGACTGCGAGTGAGTTGGTGTGGACAACTCGGAGACCAACGGCGTGGACTCGTCCTCGCTTTCGCCCGGGGCAGGCGAGACCGGTAACGTCCCCATGAGACGGTCTTTCAGCTTGCTTAGCTTCTCCAAGCTGGAATTCGGAACAGGAACTGACAGCACGATCTCGTCGTTTAAGGTGGACGTCGAGCATCGTTTCTTAATAGGCGTGGAGATGGCCGATTTCATGGGTATATTGTTAGCTACGTAATTCTCATCCGTCGACTTGGATCTGAAGGCAGGTCTAGGAGATGGCGGAGGTGACACGAAAAGCGACGCTGGTCTACTACTTGTAGAACTGCCACCGCTCTTTTTCAACTCTTTGCGCCCGAACGAGCAAGCCGATCTGATGCTAAGCTGAGACGTAATACTACGCTGCGAGTTTGTACGTTGAAGATGAACTGTCGACTCGAACGAACTGTCGTCCGATGTTTCTGGCTCGTCGTTGACCGGTACCCAATGCAGCAGAGGACTAGGTTGGAGAATCACGTAATCTGTATCCGGAGGAGCCGTCGAGATGGATCCTAAAACAAATTGTTCATGTTATCCAGCTTTTCTTTCGTTTTCTTTTTTTTTT